TCTCTTTCTGTCATATTTATATGAAGAGCGAAAATAAGGCTCATGGAATCACGCTTTGTACGCAGTTCGTACAAAATGTCTTTCTGTGGCTGCACCTGTCTTATGGTCTATATTGACTACAGGATGGAATCGACAAACTCTTTCACATTCTTAAAGGGATAGTTCACCCAAAAAAATGAGAATTCTGTCATCATTTACTTGCTTTCCACTTGTTCCAAACCTGTACGAGTTTCTTGCTTCTGTTGAGCACAAAAGAAAATATTTTGAAGCTAATTGTCTGATATTTTGAAGTTGACGGTAGCCTTAGTATTTTTGTCTATAGTAAGCAATTAAATGTCTACCGGCAACGGTTTGGTTACCAGCATTCTTTAACATATCTTCTTTTGTGTTCAGCAGAAGAAAGAAACTCATACAGGTTTGGAAAAACTTGAGGGTGTCAATGATGACAGGAGAACTATCCCTTTAAGGTGCGATTACATTGAGAATTTTTGCAGGCAAAAACGTCCATTGTCTATTTTTAATAGTATAGTGATGTATGAAGCACAACTGAAGTCACTTTCAAACCAAGCAGCTTTCTGTTGGTCAACGTGGCAAAGTTGAAAAAATACTTCTCAAAAATCCCCATCGTGTTCCTATTGAATCTACGCAATATTCCGGGAAATGAGACCGCGCGTCTTACTAAATATTTTGCAGACTTTTAGAATTTTGATCAAAAATGAGCAAATCCATGGTACCACCCTAAAACGGCTGCAAAATTTACACAAGGAAATCTGTCTCCCTCCCACAAAACTATGGATTCATATTTCAATAATCTCATCGGCAAAACTGAACAAAGCTAAATCTGATTGCATCTTTACTCTTTATGAATGGCTCATTCAGTACTATGTTTTGCACAGTTTTTATCAGAAATCTCTCTGCGTAGATTTCCGATGAGGAGATCGAGCGGATTATGTCTGGACAGGAGTTTAAGGATGAAGCCAACATTCCGGAACACACTTGGGGAAACAACGGCGACAGTGACCACAGTTCCCCTGGCAATGGCGTCTCCGATGGGAATCAGCCATCGCCTGTATCCACACTTTCATCCAAGTGAGTATTCCCTTCTCCACTGCAAAAACAGCAGTTTGTGGGAATAAGGACAAATTTACAGATTAGATTACATTTAGATTTTTAGATTACATATTAGATTACAAATTTAGATTACAGGCTTTAGCTACAATGAACATGAATCGAAAAACAGGATTCCTTTGCCTTAGATGCATTAAATAAAATGTTCTGCACAAAAGTACAATGTATTGTAACCTATTTTCTTTTCGTCTTCCACTTCCTTTCCATTTCTTTCTGACAAAGTCGCTCTGTGGAGCTGAATGGCTACACCGCTGCTTTGAGGGAACAGTACATTGGAAATGCAATGGCCCAGCACTACCAGTTCCTGCCTCACCTGTTTGGATACGCCGCCCAGCCGCGGAGTTTGTACCCCCAGAGTCATACCCTCATTAGCCAGCTGGTGGCAGCAGAGGAACTGGCCCCACTGGGCACACCCATGCTCATTGAGGACGGGTAAACAACACTGTCAATCATTTACCAAGTATTTACATTCTCAAATCCTTACGTAATGATCTTTTCTCTTTTGCGCAGGTATCGGGTCACTCAGGTAGAGCTGTTTGCGCTATTGTGTCGGCTGGCGGATGAACTTCTCTTCAGACAGATCTCCTGGATTAAGAAGCTTCCTTTCTTCTGCGAGCTGTCCATCGAGGACTACACGCGGCTCCTGAGCGCCACCTGGCAGGAGCTCATCCTGCTGGCCTGCCTGACGGTCTACAGCGCCCAGGTGCTGGGTGACCTCGCCAACGTCACCGACAAATACACCCCATCAGACGACGAGCTGCAGAGGTGAGGAATGTACAGCTTATGTCACACACCTTTTATTCGCTCGTCTATGATTTTCAAACATGTAGCTGATCAGTTTGGATCATTAATAAGAACCAATACAGTGATTCATCGGAAATCGCTAATAAGAATCTGGGCCTGAGAAATATCTCCTTCCTGCTCTTCTGTGCATGTAGGGCTTGTTGTGATCCCTAATAGTGCTAAATCACGATAGTTAGACTGTTCTCCATGCTTCAGGTACTCTCAGGCATCTCTGTACGGAGGTGGAGACCACTGTGTGTGTATGTGGGAGAAAGGCAGAGTAAAGCAGACGTGTTATGTCTGTCTGTCTCTCCCTGTATTCTCTCTCTCTCCTTTTTTTTTGTGGCTTTTATGTTTGTAATAAACCTTTTGAGATGAACTGTTGCATTTGTCAGATTTTTTCTTTTTTTTTTTTACAGATTAGCTTAATCAGTACAAAGATCTAAGTGAAAGGATGAATAAAATTTTATATAATGTATATTTGCAAATATACATTATATAATGTTGTGTAAAATAAGTGTTTAAAGGGGTCATATGATGTTGCTAAAAAGAACATTATTTTGTGTATTTGGTGTAATGCAATGTGTTTATGCGGTTTAAGGTTAAAAAAACACATTATTTTCCACATACTGTACATTATTGTTTCTCCTCTATGCCCCGCCTTTCTGAAACGCGTCGATTTTTACAAAGCTCATCGGTCTGAAAAGCGAGGTGTGCTCTGATTGGCCAGCTATCCAGTGCATTGTGATTGGCCGAATACCTCAAGCGTGTGACGGAAATGTTACACCCCTTACCACATTGTGATGATGCCCTGTCCAGCCGGAGCGACGAGACAAAAACATTAAAACCCATTATAAACGAGGCATTTGTTGCATCCACTGGGGACATAATTACTGATTATAATGACTTATACCGTCTTGAAAGCGTACTTACAGGCTGTGAGTCAGCATTATTTGTCAGAACACCTACCATTATCAATGTTGAAACCAGTTGTGCAGCTTAATATTTTAGTTGAAACTGATATACTTTGTTTTTTTTTTACTTAGAAATCTTTTGTAACATTATAGATGTGTTTAGATTTGCATTTTGGTCTAATTCCAGGCCCTCGTGCACATTTCTAGAGCCATGATTAATATACCTGTAGCCTGACGAGTGAAATACTAGTACTGGCATGGAGGAGGGGAGTGTTTGTGGTGTGTGTAAATTAGTCCGCAATCACCTGACCTCTGAACCATCTCTTCTTGATCTCCTGGGTAGATTTACTGTTGCATGCTGGGCGGAAATGCCGGTCTGAGGTAGTGAAACATTCCCATTTACTGTGCAGGTTCACACTGAAGATCATGACCTACCTTTAGGGAGGGAGTTAAAAGAGTCTGGAGTAATTAGAGGAGAGCAGCAGATAAACGTAGAGACCAATCAGTTTAGAATAGTCACAAAGTCTGAGAAAAGCACTTAGACTGAATGGTGCTGGTACGTCGTGGCATGAGCTCACTCTTTAGTGATGGCTTTATGGAGTAATTTAGCACCAAGATACGCCTCATGCTGTGCTTTATTGCTTTAATTCTTATTTTATTTCTATTATTACACAATTCATGTGGTCTCCCACTCAAACATATTCTTATTATCTGATTAGTAACAAATTAATATCATAAACTCTGGTTTAATGGCTAAGAGGATGTACACAAATATAACCACAAAGGAAATGGAATCAGATGATAGACCAACATTTGTCACAGGTTTACTAAACTCACGTTTTCATATTTCCTTAAATTAAAATATTACAATAACATTCATATTTTTTTTAAACAGGTGTCAGAACATTTCAGACATTTCTATATATAATTATATGATTGAGTTCCATATGTGTAGTTTCAGTGAGGATGGGATGGAGGTGATGGAGAAGCTGATCTATCTGTTCCGTAAGTTCCATCAGCTGAAGGTCAGCAATGAGGAATATGCCTGCATGAAGGCCATCAACTTCCTTAATCAAGGTAAAACAGCAAGTATTTCCATTATAATACAATATTACATTATATACTGTGTGCTGATGCTCTTCTGACTCTTATGATAATCACTGCTCACTGCATAAGCACTTAAACAGATCTTCAGAATCAACAATAATAGAGCCATAATATCATAATGACTTGAAATAGAAAAGCAAATGTTTTAGTTTCATATTTCTGCATAAATGTCCAGCATCATAAAATTTCTTTGTGTCTCTAGATATCCGCGATCTGACCAATGTGACCCAGCTGGAGCAGTTGAACAAACGTTATTGGTACGTTTGTCAGGATTACACTGAGTACAAGTACCCTCACCAGCCCAAACGCTTTCCCGAGATCATGATGTGTCTGCCAGAAATCCGCTGCATTGCAGGTAAGTCCAAAAACAACACATTTAATGTATTTAATAAAAAAAAATTGCATCCATTTAGCGGTCAGATTTCACCCTTCTCCCCTCGTTTTCCAGGGAAGTTGGTCAACATCCCTTTGGAGCAGCTCCCCCTGCTGTTTAAGGCAGTATTGCACTCCTGTAAGTCAAGTCTGAACAACTACAGGACAAGCTCCTCCCCCTGTGTGACAAAGGGTATCGCCCCTGCCAACTAGCCCCGCCCCCTTGAAAACACCCTCCCCATCTATTGCACGGGGGCGGGGTGTTATCTGGGGGTGGGGCTCCCGGTATCCTCCTCCTCCTCTCATGAATGTGATAAGAAACTATTTTATGCATTTTGTTTAGATTAGTGTTGTTTTTTCTCTCTATTTATTACCAGACAGAGCTGAATGTATGTTGATCCACACTGTGCATATGCTCCTTTTCAAACGAAAATGCACAAAAAGCGCAGTGGATTTCACACGCCTCAGTCCAACTGCGATATGTGACGTGTAACCACTGATAGATCTACTACTTGGTTTTATTTTATACCGCTGTTCACTTTCTGCCGATAGGGACAGATAAAGGAATTGTTAATTGAAAGACTACCTCAGGAAGAAAACGTTTCACGTGCTCCCTCTCTGTTTTGCGATGCTCCGGGCCATTAACGTCGACACTGTGCCTCGTGTTTGAGAACGTCTTGTCATGTGTGTAGTTTCAGTGAGGATGGGATGGAGGTGATGGAGAAGCTGATCTATCTGTTCCGTAAGTTCCATCAGCTGAAGGTCAGCAATGAGGAATATGCCTGCATGAAGGCCATCAACTTCCTTAATCAAGGTAAAACAGCAAGTATTTCCATTATAATACAATATTACATTATATACTGTGTGCTGATGCTCTTCTGACTCTTATGATAATCACTGCTCACTGCATAAGCACTTAAAACAGATCTTCAGAATCAACAATAATAGAGCCATAATATCATAATGACTTGAAATAGAAAAGCAAATGTTTTAGTTTCATATTTCTGCATAAATGTCCAGCATCATAAAATTTCTTTGTGTCTCTAGATATCCGCGATCTGACCAATGTGACCCAGCTGGAGCAGTTGAACAAACGTTATTGGTACGTTTGTCAGGATTACACTGAGTACAAGTACCCTCACCAGCCCAAACGCTTTCCCGAGATCATGATGTGTCTGCCAGAAATCCGCTGCATTGCAGGTAAGTCCAAAAACAACACATTTAATGTATTTAATAAAAAAAAATTGCATCCATTTAGCGGTCAGATTTCACCCTTCTCCCCTCGTTTTCCAGGGAAGTTGGTCAACATCCCTTTGGAGCAGCTCCCCCTGCTGTTTAAGGCAGTATTGCACTCCTGTAAGTCAAGTCTGAACAACTACAGGACAAGCTCCTCCCCCTGTGTGACAAAGGGTATCGCCCCTGCCAACTAGCCCCGCCCCCTTGAAAACACCCTCCCCATCTATTGCACGGGGGCGGGGTGTTATCTGGGGGTGGGGCTCCCGGTATCCTCCTCCTCCTCTCATGAATGTGATAAGAAACTATTTTATGCATTTTGTTTAGATTAGTGTTGTTTTTTCTCTCTATTTATTACCAGACAGAGCTGAATGTATGTTGATCCACACTGTGCACATGCTCCTTTTCAAACGAAAATGCACAAAAAGCGCAGTGGATTTCACACGCCTCAGTCCAACTGCGATATGTGACGTGTAACCACTGATAGATCTACTACTTGGTTTTATTTTATACCGCTGTTCACTTTCTGCCGATAGGGACAGATAAAGGAATTGTTAATTGAAAGACTACCTCAGGAAGAAAACGTTTCACGTGCTCCCTCTCTGTTTTGCGATGCTCCGGGCCATTAACGTCGACACTGTGCCTCGTGTTTGAGAACGTCTTGTCATATCTTACGCATTTGCGGTGCGCTGCAGTTCTCAAACACACGCTTGGTAGTCACATAACTTTATCTTTCCATACAAGGCTGTGATGGAGAGCGTGATTGTTTACACAAAAGAGAGGTGTACGGGAATGTTTCACAATCATAGGCTGGGGACGAAACGACAACAGAATATGTGTGTTAATATTGTTGATTTCTTTCTTTTTTTTTTTACCAAAGTGTTATGCATATTTGGAGGGAAGTAAGCCCTTGTTGAAAATACGAGAGACTTCTGGGGAGAACAGCGGTGTCCATCATTAAGCTGCACACTCCACATGGTTTGCACTCAGGGGCCGTTTACACGACAACGTTTTCAGCCAAAAACGGGAAGCTTTTTATGTGTTTTGCCTGTTCGTTTACATGACAATGCCGTTTTGGGGACTGAAAATGCATATTTTTGAAAACGGGTTTCAAAGTGAAAGTTTTTGAAAACGTCACCGTTATCGTTTCCGTGTAAACAACCAAAACAGGAATCTTTGAAAACGGTGACGTCATGCGCGTGCGTAGTACGTGTTAGGTTTTTTTGTTTTTTTGTAGTACATGTTAGGTATGTAGACATGCGCAGTACGTGTCGATTTTAAAGGCAAGTGCAAACAAACATACACAACAATGGTGGAGTACATGGTACTGTTGTTGCTGTTTAAGAGTTTGCTAACGCTTCTTCAGCGAAGTGTGGATTTACTTCACCAATATTACAACCAACAGCGGAGACGCATCATATACAACATATAATCGTCTCTTCCCTACAGGTACTGTTTACTTACAAGGTGACAGCGCCAACTACTGGCCTGGCATAAGTAATACAGCGTTTTTGGCCGTTTTCACGGATATGTGGAAACGCGAATCGTTTTGAAAACGTCATGTATACGTGAAACTTTTTAAAAACGCAAGGGAAAATCTTTTCCGTTTTTGACTACATCGTTGTCGTGTAAACGTAGCCTCAGTCCGGCAGTGAAATGTGGTGTATCTGCTTTCTTATTTCGGAAAAACAATCGGTTCCTTAATTTGGAGCACTCGTTGAAGGATGTAGAGTTTGACCATGAAGTATTTATCAGCATTCAGTCAGTGTTTTCCACCATGAATGATTAGCATTAGCATCAGATTTGGTTGCAAAGTTCTAAAATGTATCCCGCCAAATGCTCTCAAACTAAAATAAAGGGCATTTATTTGAGTTCAGATGGAGAAAAGTGGATTTCCTCACAGTCTAGTTTCCACTAGTCTGCTGCTGGTTCCTTCCCTCAAGTTTTAAACAGGGTAAAGTTACTGTTTCACTCGCATCTCTCTCTCAGATATCGCAGTGCTGATGTACTTGTAGGTTTAGTAGTTTGTAGTATTCTGGACATTGTAGGTCCTTTTAGATGTTTTTTATGTTTTGTTTTTATGAGTCTGGGGAGGGGGAAGTGTTGTTTTGAAGACTATTTTGTTTTGGTTTTGAGTATTACTGTAAACCTGATTAGAGAAAAAAAAAACATGACTGAGATGCTAGCTAGTCCGGTTATAACGAGCCATCCGACGCCTTGGAGGTTTTGGTTACGATTCGTTTCCTCGGTTGGTTTTTACCCAGTCATCAGTGGATGTGCTCGCTGTAACTCTCATCATTTCAGACATTCCAAACACGTTCGATATGTGTCGTAATGTTTACATATTTGCACCAGACAATGACAAAGAGGCCCGTACCAAAGACGCATGTTCAGCATGGTAACGGCCCATCTCAAGTGCAGCTGAACCTCGGTGGCAACATTTGGCGTTGTGTTGTTTGGTGGACGCTTCACATCTGTCTGTATGCCGCTTAATCTTAAACGTTTTATCCATCCCACACCGCATTCATTTGTGTCCCTTCATTTGTCGTCGTTTCATTTTGTACTTCGTTTACTGTGGTAGATATCGTGACTTTACTTTTCTCGCGAGGGCTTGTTTTGGAGTGTGAGCTAGCTAAATGCCTGACTAAACTCTTGATATGGTGAACGTGTTTAAAAGCTTCAAACACACAGACTTTGTCTGCGATACTACGCATTTGTTTGCCATCGCCCACATCAGAATAAACTCGAAGGTGGAGATTTATCGCAAACCAAGCTGCAATAAACACCAGCCCTCTTGAATTGAGTTTCTCAGACCAGCATCTCTGGAAGAAACTCAGGAATATCCCTCTATTTTGAACAGTTTTGTTGATCTGGCTTTTGAGGGAAGCTTTTGAATCTCAGAAGCTTTTTGATTTCGTTAAAAGAGCCACACTCCCCATCTAGGTCTTTTTGTTTTCTGTCGTTCCTTCATATTTTACAATGTGTCCTCGTTTGTTTCTTTTTATGCATTTTTCATTGAAACTACCTCTTTTGTGTGTCATCATGCTTTCATTAAGGAAAAGTATTAATCGTTATTTATTGGTTTCAAAGCACCAGTGACCCTGTTTCTTTGTCCGTTTCATATGCCATTCTGGAGTTAATAGTTAATAATCATTCGTATTCCGTCATTGTCTTAAAATAATTCCTAAAATAATGCCTGATAGACATCAGATGCTGCATATTTACCTCACTCTTCAATGAAGACCATTTCTCAGTGCAATTATAACGTGTGAAATGAACAGTATTATATTCCTAGTTGTAAACACTGTTTGTGAATTGTTTTCATGAAGAATGTATTTTTTATTTTTTTTGTCTATATGACTTTGTTATTATTTCTCAACTGTTTACAAGTTTTTTTGTCAGTCCATTGTAATCATGTTAATGCTTTGACACTTTTCAGCCAATCAGATTTCTTTCTTGATTGTTACGGGTATGCTGATTGGCTATTGAAAGACTATCAAAGTGCTGTCAGTTTTACATAGCCAGGGAACTTATTTCAGTCTAGTACCAGTTCTCTTTGGGATTCTTCTTGATCCGGTGGGAATCTTATTAGAAGAAACATTGGTGAATGTTGGGGCTCGAGCAAACCATATAGAGCCAGACGAGAGGTTTTGGAACATGGGTGATATCTCAGGGAATAGACACGCTCCTGAAAACCCCAAAACAACTCTAGTACATGCTAAATTAACTCCTGTCTGTTTGTATTTGTCTTTGTATTGGCATCTGGCGTGTTGTTTTCGGGAGTGTTGTCTGAGGTGCTTTTCCTAACCCACGTCACAAACCTCTTCTTCTGCTCCTCTGACTTTTACTACCTGTGAAGAATGTGACCCATATGTGTTATAAAGCATGTTTAGAATGTTTTAGGACTTGAAACCAAATAAATGTGAATCTTATGCAACTGTGAAACCGTGTCTTGTCATCTCTACACGTTTTGTTGTTGAGCTTTGCAGCATGAACCATAAAGGATTACATGTATCACAAATATGCATGATGGCCACTTAAATAACAAACAGCAAAAAACTTGAGGAATGTTTGTTAAATATTTGAAAAACTAGTATCTGACATAAAATTACTTATGAAAAATAACTCTTCAGATTGGTGGCGTCTTGACCAACCCCATCACACAGGTTTTGATCTTAACAGTTTCTAATAAAACTTATACAATTAGGTCATGTGTTAATACTAGCAATTCTATTCTATTCATTTTTTTCTAATTCAACTGAAAAAAACCTTGCTATGTGTACTGTGCTTGACTAAATAAGATGTGTCACTGTTGCTCTTTTGTTGGTTTGATTGCTTCTATTGTTCTCATTCGTAAGTCGCTTTTGATAAAAGCGTCGGTTAAATGATTAAATATAAATGTAAATTTGACATCGCTCTCTCTTCTGACTGCCGTTATCAATCTCTCTATTTTTTCCTCCTTTTGAAAGTCATGAAAACACTATCGTGGAGTTTTCCTTTCGCTATTTGAGCAAATGGTAATTCAACAATATACTTGATGCAGTCTCCTGTTCACTGCTATTGAAGTTTACCCAACTATGACGACGTCCGCTTCTGAGAAACCCAGAAATGTGAAGATTCTATAACTTACATTTTACTGGTGTATTTTATGTAAAGAGCGTAGTGTTGTTAAATGGACTACTTGCACTGAGCTTTGTGATGTATTTCTGTTTTCAAATAATGTGGCTATAGTTTCCAGTTTATGTTTTCAATGTGCTGAATAGCGGCCTAGTTCCCTAAACGGCACTTAAAATGAGTATCAGCGAAAAGTTCCAGTAGAAGCTGACCTGAGAAAGCAGTGGCAGGTAAATATTTCACAAATAAAATCATATTAAATTAAACAAATACATGAGCAGTGTGCTGATGCTCATGTCCTGAACACTGAGTCCTGGAGCTCCAGCACTAATAATGTGGGATGAACTTCAGACGACAGGCTTTTCTTACAGAAGAACAATTCCACACAAGCCAACCTCTGATAACAAGCACTTCTTCCTCTGAAGTGCCCTAGTACTGAAAGACTTTCACTGCCGAGGCCCTAGAAGAAGCGCTGTAGCTGTTAGTCAGGTCTGCTAGGGAAATGAGCCGATGTGTTCCCATCAGGCTACTGCCTCCAGTCTAAACCGGAGGAGCGACAGAGAGAGCGGGCGCCGTAGCGCCTCTCAAATTCTGATGGTTGTCCATTCCTTCAGTTCACCTGAGGAGACGTTGATGCATGTCCTCCTTTAGATAAACTGCTGGAGGGGAGGACAGAGAGTGAGCCTCTGATGATCCAG